ATTATTATTATTATAGTGTACTTAAACGGGAATAGATGCTTGTACTACCAAACTTATGGACTTTCTAAGTGATGTGTGGATTAATTTAGCCAACATAACAACAAAGTTTTGTAAGCATGTACAATGAATACCCACGAGTGAAAATGTGTATTTACAAATCTTACCTTAATTCCATTATTAATGTACTGGAGAGACGCAATGGCGATATATTCCGCAAGTCGAATTTCACGATGAGGCTCCGACCTTCGCGATGCATAAAACACATTGGAGTCAGTGCAACGCTTTTGTAAATCAAAGCCGACGCCACTAGGCGAATTCCTTAACTTCACTGTGAAGTCACGTATATTTAGCTAATTCGAGACTTCGTGAGTCTAATGACGCTGAGCCCTTCACTGAAGAGATAAAATGCACTGACTTCGGCGTGACGGCACTTGACAAAAACTACATATAAATGAAGGATTACACTATGCCAGACGCTTAACGCGCCACAAGATTTCAGAGATGCGTTGCGTCGACGAAGACCCAACATTTTTAAAAACGTCTGTTACCTTCGAGATTTACATTGTGTATATTGAAAACGCTATCAAGAGAAAATGATTTTGTACCCAGCACCTTTCTAAACATAACTTTTCGTCTTTTCCAATATTTCCACCAACTTCAATTCATGGCCATTATTGTGCAGCACTTCAATCGTCCTAGATGGCAAAATGACTTATTATTTGGTAGGTGACATTTCAACAAATGGAGTACACATACTGTGCAAATTCCCCGTTAGTAAACAGTCCTTTCTCCTAACGTAAAAGAATTTTAAGAAACCTCGGTTAGTATTACCCGCGCAACTCTTCTTGACCGATGGCCTACCTTTCCCCTCCCAGGTACAATAAACAATTGAAGTTGAACGCTCGCAGCGAAAACTGATAACAGTCCAAACAAATGTCATTGGCGGGTAATAAAAACTATTTGCTGTTGAAGACGAGAATATTTTTCTTCGAAAAATCTAAAGAAATGACCGAAGCAGGTCCAAATCCATCACATCGGATATCTTGAACTTCTGAGAAAGTTAAAACGCAAATTAATTAACAAGTTGCGAAGGCACGACTGATATTCGAGAGATTGGCATTGCTTCATAAAATTTAGTGGCCGAATCCGTAACTAATTCCCCTACACTACCAGAATTTCTCCAAGCCATCAGTCTAGAAACGTTGCGTGGTTATTATTACCATTGCGCCGTAACAATCACATACACAAAAGAGGAAAGAAAAACATTAAAAATAACATTAACAACATTTGAGCCTATTAAATATCGTACTGATGTCACCCCCGGAGAGATGAACCTACGTTTTGCAAACATTTTTGGATGTGTTTCAGTCTCTTGGTGTTCAATCATATTGTGGACACTGTTTTTTCAAAAATTCTGATAACAAAAAAATGCGTGTATTCATCAAGTTCCCTGCCTATGTCACTCACAATTTGATTTTTGTTCCAGATATGGTGTTAGATAATGCAGGATATGAACTTTACACAGATCTATGTCTTGCTGACTTATTGGTTACCTTCTCCTTAGCATCACAAGTTCGTTTTCGAGCCAAGGTTCTTCCATGGTATGTGTCAGATGTGTGTATACCTGATTTTCAGTGGGCATTGCAAATTCTATCCAATTCAGAAAACTCTGAGGTCTCTGCTTTGGCTAATCGTTGGTTAGGACATATGAAGTCTGGAAAATGGGTGCTGTGTGCAGATGAATTTTGGACATTGCCTCATGTGTTTAATCAGATGCAAAATGTAGATCCGACTTTATATCAAGAACTATCTAATGCTGTTCTAATGATTATTAAAGGAGATCTTAATTATCGCAAGTTGACTGGTGATATAAATTGGGAGCCTACTAAACCTTTTTCAGAAGCATTGTCTGAATTTCGACCCACAAATATTGCAGCGCTTAGAACACTTAAAGCAGATACAATCTGTGGCTTGTTAGCTGGTCAAGCAGAGGACACTGCAGCTAAGAGCTCAGAATGGCTTATTTCAGGGCAGTATGCAGTAGTACAGTACAGTTCATTATGACTACTAACAAAAGTGTTGATAAAATTATATTTTATTGTGATTATGAGAAGAATGTAACTATGAAGTTACAAGTTTTGCAAGATCTCACCTAAGTAATACTACAGATTTGTCAATTGTTATGACATTATTTTCCTTGTCCTAATACAAATTATGCTTCTAAAACAAATTAGTGCTGCAATAATTTGGACATCTCATAAAATTGTGCATGTGTTGAAACAACCATAGGTTTTAGGACATTTGTTTAAAATATATCGTATGCACATGAATTGAGTACTGTATAAGAAAAGTAATTTTATTTTCTGTATTTGTTATGGGGTTTTAATGTTTGATGGTGCCATGAATAATTATGATTATCACTGAAGATTTTTCAAATTTTCTTTTAATTTTAATTTATTAGATGTAAGTTTTGCTTTGAAAAATTATTGTTACCATTGATGTTACAATCTTTATGAAATAAAAAAAATGTTATTTACCTTTACTTCAATAAATGTTAAAAAATAATTCCCATATGAAAAGAAAATGAGACCCCATGGTACTAAAGAATCTCAATGTTATACATCTTAAAAGTGTATTGAGTGATTATTTAGTGTACCTTCAATGAATTTTCAGTTGCTTATCAGAAAAATTAATTTTGGGGCAGCGGCGGGTCGTGATAATTCAACTAGGGTGTGCAATGTCTCTTTTCTCCCCCACTCTCCTTCACTCACACACTCCCCTTCACTCACACACTCTCCTTCACTCACACACTCGCAAATAAAAATTAAACACGATACTTCTTATGAACTCTGAAAGCATGCCGAACAGTACATTTCATCAGCAGTGAGGGTTGGCCGCATTTCTTTTCAAAACATCCCTCTGAAATATTTACGACTAGGGTCGGGTTACCCCGTGGCGAGTCAGCACATCCCAGAACATTTTCCAGGGTTGTCAAGAGTTCTATTGTACATCGATACAACATTTTTACTCGCACTTTTACTAAAGAAAATTTTCCATAAGCTCACTGCAAATTTAAGGCTAAAAGTACCAATTCCTATACCCAAACTGCACAAAAGACTTCTCAATTGATAGCAAAGCTAATGCAGAAGGTGTCCTGTGACATGGTGCTGCGTGGGAAGGTCTTTATGCAATTCAGTTTAAAAAAAATATATTTCCACATCACTAGTAGTCATAGGAATTGTAATAAGTACTTTGAGATGCTTAAAAGTCACTAAAAGACTGGGCCGATTGCATAAACGTTCGATATGGAATCCGTAAGCGTATTGGTTGTATAAAATAGTTCATAGCGACAAAACATGTTTCTAGAACAAACAATAAGACTTATGGAACCTATAAGGCTTTCTATAACTTATAAGTCCTGAAACGGGTCTACAAATGCTTATGGATTCAACAAATAAGCAACATGACTCAGTGCTCTGCTGCAGCTGTTTGAGGTTATTGGCGGTATCTGGCATCCGTGTATTGTTTTGGTAGCTTTTACGAATTTTATTTGGTGTATTGAATATCAGTGAATTCAATTTTCATAAATTATTTTTGCGTGTATTGTGACGAGAAGTATGGATTATATTTGGTTAAGAAAATATCTTAATTTTTGCTATAATATAGTCTTCTTTTTTGAATTATATTTCAACAAGCACCAACATCAATCAACTCCATCCACTGCTTACGTGTGGCATGCAACCCCTTTGTACATGTACTGGTGAGTAAATAAGTGTAATGAATGAAAACTATATATTTTGAATTATGTTGAAATTCAAAGATTCGTAAAATAATAGTTCAGCCCGCGGTTAACCCTTCGTAGAATCATAAGTGAATTTAATTTGCAGTCATTATGCTGAAATTTGGTTTGTCATAATAATTTTCAGTTGTGAAACGATATCTTTCAAATAAATAGATAATTAATGAAGATTACAAAATTTATTGATGAACAAATGATGAAAATGTTTTAGTGTTAGGGCTAGTATTTATATCAGTATTACAAATAAAATTAGAATAATTTGAATGATTATCCTCAGACTATTTTTTTAAAAAAAACTCATGACTTATTTTAATGCATTATTGCCTGCCTATACTTGCCAAATTATATGCCTTAACTTCTGGACTCTACTTGTACAAATACTGTAGAGACTATCTCTATAGTATTTGACTTGTGTTAGAGCGAGATATTCATTGGTAGATAGATTCCATATTACGTTCAAAAATATTGATTTGCGAGATACGTATTGTGAGACATACATAAATAATGTAGGAACCTTTATGCTGAGTTTTATTTAATTAATTGAATTAATTTCGCTTCATAGATGTAAAATAAAAATATTTTAAAACCACATCAAGAACTATCGTTGACTAGTTTCTTACTAGTACCGACAGATCGCGTGGCCAAGGAATGAAAAATTGAAGCATACGATTGAACATAGAAAAGCACTGGTACACAATTAGTACTAGCAAAATCTTAAAAAGTAACATTATATACATATATCTATACATTTTTGTGAAGTGATTGCAAATAATAGTAAAATTTTCCATGTTAAGAGTGGGAAATAAAGTCTTTAGTAAATTGGGCAATGCATAAGTCCTTGAAATTGGCATGACTGTTCAGGGCTCATGCTTCAAAGTTTCGTTGTTTTGAATCACTTTGATTATTGTTCGTTACCTGGTCGACACGCGGTAAATATCACAATCTGAGCGAATTTGCGGAAGATTTATTTCCAAAGCGGAGTTTGAGAGAACGAAATAATTCCTCCAATATCACAAGAACAATGACATAATAAAGTTTTCAAATATTTTTCCAATGTTTGTTTATCTTAAGGTGATAAAATGAAATTACTGCATCATATAATGCTGATGGATGTATTATTGAGACCTTCAATAATTAAATTTTAATATTGTTGGGGATTCAAAAGAGATTTCCACGTGGCATAGTCTTTTGTAATCGTTTGTCTTGATGTTGCAGTCAAAATGAAAAGAGGTTTAAATGTTTTGAAAATAAGACATGAGAACCATTCAAAAACATTACTACTGTTCAGGAAATGCAAATAATTAGATAAGATAGCATGGTACAGGTCTAATTTATAGAGGAGTATACTGCACAATAATTCAAGTACAGATTGGCCAATGAATTGAGTGTTTGTAAACATTTCTTTCAATAATATTTTGACCCTCCAATAATCACTACGAAAATTAGAATTCCAACGTTGGTTTTGCATCAGAATCGCTTACAACACCACCAACAAAAAAATCTCTGCCGTCATCTCGAAAGACGAAAAGGAGATTGTTGCCTTCTAATATCATGACTTGGAAAATGGAAAACAAGAGACAGTGAGTGATCCATCAAAAACATAATTCGAAAACTGCAGAACTCGTCAGTGCAATAAGTCGCAGAGACAACCACTCATTTTTCATAATTTACTTTTTTCATGTTACAAACATAAGATGTACAAACTTTTAGAATTTCGTTGGTCAGTCACAAAAGCTTTGTGTTCTCTCTCTTGTATCTGCCTGTTAGTCTGTGCAACAGAGATTGTGAATGTATTGCGTGTCTGTCCTACCGACTCCGATCTCACTGGTCTACCCTTGATTTCGCTGCTTTTGAATAAATGTAAATAGAAATAATAATTACACTGTAGATAACTGCGGCTAGGTGCATAAAAAGTACCAAGAAATTCAAAATTATAATTTACTTTTTAGTTTACGAGATAACACTTTCCCCAATGTTACCAGTAATTGAAGCTCGCGTCATGAAAATTCAAGTCCCCCTCACATCGTTTCTATATATATATATATATATATATAATGCAGGGATTTTGTGTGTGTGTGTGTGATTTTTAATATGACATATGATGTTCATTGTTGTGTGTTTGCCATCATCATTGTAAATATTAAATAAGTTAACTACAAATGGGGACCCGGGAATGTGGAAAATATTTGTTTTTTTTGCATTTTTATCTATGCCTGTTTCTCTCGCAGGAAAATATACATATTTGCTTGTTTGAGCTTTAAACAATTTTAA